TCTTCACATTTACTTTGAGTTGTTTTGGCTGCCATTACCTGATTACTTGAAGAAAACACAACACAATTATTCGGTCATTACTGAGCTGCGTTTCTTTTTACTGATAAACACAAAAGAAGATAATTTGAAGAATGCTGATAACCAAAAATTGATGATCTTCATTGAATTCCCCGGTAGGAAAAAAAAATACTATAGAAGTCAATGGGATACCAATTGTATCTTTTTAACAGGGGTGCGCTTTCCGAACAACGACGTAACTCGCGGCTGAACTATCATGGTACGATGCATCGTTTGGGAAAAGAACGATGTAGTGACGAGTGTTTCCCAAAACGCTAGTTTCTCTGTCGCAGATCCATCGATTGAATCATGTTAGTTATAACGTAAAACGGCTATAATGATGCTCTAAACGGGGCGGAGGAACTATTTCTTTATAGAAGAACCCCGTCATTTCTTTTTGCAAATTATTTTGTTTTACACAGACACACAATTAAATAAAATCCAATATTAGATTATATTAAATGATCTATATTAACTGAAATATAAGTAAAGGCCACATATATGTTTACTTTACAAATATTATTGAGAATGACATATCCTATTCTAAAACATATCAATTACAAAAGCTCACACCTATTCTAATATCATATATAAATCATATAAATAAATAAATACTTAGGCGATTTATTATAAAACGAAATGTAATATTTATTATATATTAGGAAATGAAAAACTCATAATTTAATAATTATTTTAATAATACTAATGATGATCATGAGGATGATGCTAATTATTATTATTTTTATTACAATGTATTAAAAATGAAAAAAAAAATCACAATTTAATAATATATTTATTAATAATAATGATGATGACAATAATAATAATAATAATAATAATTATTATTATTATTATTATTATTAAGAAGGGTATTGTTTAGTTATTTATTATTTTTTAGAAAAGTTTACTTTTACAATTCGACACTTGTAAACTACAGCAGAAAGTTCAAACCAGCGGGCCCATGTCATATACAGTACAGATACTTAATCGATAACCCACTATAAATTAAAATAATTACCATATGCTCTTTGTTTTCACAAGCTTTGGAGACGCAATATAAATTCCTATTCCTATTTAATATAAATAATAGGTCACCTACAGCTTTCCCCATGAGGCTGTGTTCAAAATTACATCATGTTTACAATTGTGCTCCCTTCGCAGTGCACTTTGAAAGCATTGAAGATCGCTAAAACTGAACTGTAAAAATAGTTAGAAAGCAAATGACACCTAAAAGAGATGACCTTAATGCTTTTTTATTTTTAATCATTCGAAGTTTAAATGTTAGAAGTTTAAATGCTATTCCCCCTATGCCCTTGAATAGGGCATAGGGGGAATAGGTGGAAATAAAACACAGCCAGGAACTACGTTTCAAACAAAAGCTCCAGAGGTGTAGTTGCGAGTGCTTAAGTTTGCGATGCAGTTTGCGAATGTGCGTTGGAGCGACGGATTTGGGAAACGGCAAATCAACAAACTTTTTGTAACGACGGAACTTGCGACCTTAGTTGGCTAACGACGGTTTTGGGAAACGCACCCCAGGATAGTTCACCAAAAATGAAAATGATCATTATTTATTCACGCTTAAGTTTTTTTCTTGTGCTGAACACCAATGGAAACATTCTAAAGACTGTTGGAATCTGGTAAACACTGACTTTCATACTCTCTGTTTTTCCTATGGAAGTCAAGGGCTACCAGTATACATCATTCTTCAAAATGTCTTCTTACAATTATGTTTAGTAATTAAGCAGATGCTTTTGTTCAAAGCAACTTACAATTGAGGAGGCATTCAGCGATTCAACAAGAAGAGGCAATACACACAACTAGACATGGGATGATAACCGTTTTCAGGGTATACCGCGGTTTGGAAAAGTCAAGGTTTTAAAACCGCCAAAAATTTCTGTAATACCGTTCCTAAGGGATGTGTAAGATTTTTATTTATTTCTTTTTTTTTAGGACAACAGTAATAACAGCAGAAAAGATATCCAAAGATGCCATTTTAAATAGTTAAGAAATCAGTGTTTTTGAAACTAATGAAGACAGCAGAAGTCAATGATTCATTTTCATCATTTAGCCTGAAGTGTTTACTGCTCTAAAATATTATAAATCTTTCAAAGAATAAAATATATTATTTTCAAAGTTTTTTACCCAGACATTTACAAAGAACATATTTTACAGCAGTAATCACAATACCGTGATACCGTGATATTTTTATCCAAGGTCATCATACCGTCAGAATCTTATTCTGGCCTATGCCTACACACAACAAGTGCTGATTATAAAACAGTTAGTGCTCAGAGAATTAAGTGCTCGAGTTAGAAGGGGGGAGTGTTTTTTAGAGAAGAGTGTTTCTACAGGTGGTTTGTCAAGCCCGCTCACCTGTGTGAAACTTACTTTATAAATGCACAATGTTTTTTTAAAAGATTGTTAGGAAGTCTCTGGTGCAAAACTGGTGCTAGTGTTGGTTAAAGTGTCAGAGAAATGAAAGTGTGTGTTTTCTTCAGGTGGTTAGTAAAGCCCACTCACCTGCGTGAGCAGGGGCGGACTTAGGCCCCGTTTACACTGTTAAATGTGACCTAATTCTGATTTTTTGCTCATATGTGACAGATTGGTTCTGTTCTATGACCATGCAAACACGAAAAAAACACATGCATTCGGATATTCAGAGATCGGTCTGCATGTATAGTTTTAAACGACGTTTTACTCAAAATCATTTAAAACAATAACATGCAGTCACACAGCCAAGTATAAAGTGTTCATGAAGATGTAACTGTTTGGATTTTTTAATATTTGGATTTAAAATTCCCCTATATGAATTGTATATACTTGATTATATCGATTCTTAACCCTGTTAAAACCGACACATGAACAAATAGTCGGGTTATTCACATTCTTTTGGGACTGAAATGTTTATTAATCCTGCTATCAAGATCCATTTTTATAACATATAGATGTTTTTAGAAATTTATTTTGTATCATATTGATACATCAGGCCTTTTGGTAACATTTGTTTTTGCTCAAAACTATTTTAATTTTAGTAAACAAAAAACAGTTTGCCCATAACTAAACATTTTACAGTCTTTTTATTTCACTTTAAGAGGTGTAATAGCAGTTTCAGTCAATTGTTGAACTTGAACCCTCATACCTCTAAGTAAATGTGTAATTGCGCCCCTGAATTTACCATGCAATAAATTACATTTTAAAATAGAGACCACCGATTTTATTAAACATATAATTCGGATTGAAATACAGATTTGTTACCCAAGTTTTTTTTTATAAACTTTTATTTAGAAAAAAAGAAATGTACAATATAAATCAGGAAGTAATCTGTATAAGACTAGAATACAAGAATATGCAATTACAAAGTGATAAGAACAATAAGTGAAAAAGAAAAAATGAATAAAAAGAAAAGGAAAAAAGAGAACAAAATGAAGAAAGGGGAAGTACAAAATTAAATTAAATCAAGAAATACAGAAAGCATTAATTACTAACATACTGGAAGCATGATATTTTCATAAGTTTGTTACCCAACTTTTGATATGTCGAGATCAAGCGAATATTACGTCATGATCACGAGAAAATAAGAAAGAAAATAAATGTACTAACTATGATGTCATATTTGCTATTGTTATGATGTCATATTTGCTTTTGTACAAGATGGAATTGATTCAAAAACATGTTTTCTTATACAACTAATAATATTACTTGGAAAATACCATATCCATGTCAAGAAATGGGTCAAAGCTAAGCCAAATTGTGTTCATTTTATAAAGGAGATTAAACAATATGGTACTACATTATGTAAAATAAAAAACAGAAAAGCTAAAAAAACATACGAGGCATTATGTAAATTTCAATTGATAGAATATATATATATATATATATATATATATATATATATATATATATATATATATATATATATATATATATATATATATATATATATATATATATATATATATATATATATATATATATATATATATATATATATATATATATATATATATATATATATATATATATATATATATATATATATATATATATATATATATATATATATATATATATATATATATATATATATATATATATATATATATATATATATATATATATATATATATATATATATATATATATATATATATATATATATATATATATATATATATATATATATATATATCTATATATATATATATATATATATATATATATATATATATATATATATATATATATATATATATATATATATATATATATATATATATATATATATATATATATATATATATATATATCTATATATATATATATATATATCTATATATATATATATATATATATATATATATATATATATATATATATGTATATATATATATATATATATGTATATATCTACATATATATATATATATACATATATATATATATATATATATATA